GTAAACTGAGAACTGAAGAGGCAAAATATCTTCCTAGAGGTCATACAGTTAGTAAAGTGTCAGGGCTAGAACTCAAGCCTATATCTTTGATTCCAAACCCAAGACCCTTTTCACAATCTGAAGTAACCTCTCTCTAAAAATGCAAGAAAATCTCTAGTACAAATGCTAGCTAACCCATCCTGCATTAAGAGCGTGGACCAAAAGCATGAGAGGGAAGGAACATCGCCAATGGCCCTTTCCTGACTGTGTCCTCTATGTGTTAGAAAAGCCAGAAACCAAGTTCTGCAATGGAACCTCACCAAAGTCCTCACAATGGCTAGGTGGCACTGTAGTAGGTGACACCAGGCCTGGAGTCAGGAAGACTCATCTTCCCGAGTTCAAATCCAGCCTCAGATACTTCCTAGCTGTGTGACCCTGGCCAAGTCACTTCACTCTGCTTGCCTCCGTTTCCTCATCTGTAAAATGAGCTGGAGAAAGAAATGGCAAACCACTCCAACGTGTCTGCCAAGAAAACTCCAAATGGGGTCAGGAAGAGTCAGGCAGGACTGAAAGTACTCAACAGCGACAAAGTCCTCACTAGCCCCTGACAGGATGTAACAGAGCCACTGTGGGCTTTGGAAAGATGAGGTTTTCAACTTCATTTGGTGAAAGATAGCAGTGGTGGGGAGAGGATATGCCTGGGCCTTATGTGTGACGTGAATTGACTCCCATCCCAAGAGAGTGCACGGTCAGTTGGCAACCTGAACATTGGTCTTGTAAAGAGAGTGCACTGTGGTGGTGACTTGGAACCACTGGGCCTTTGACCCAGGGTGTTGAATTTAAGCTGGTGCTTACGGTACATGCTTCAAGAGCGTAGAAACCACAGAGGTTAGCACCTAGTTAGCAAGAATAATTAGTCAAAATGAAAGCTAGCAGATGGCAGGCTGGGGTAAGTTCACCCTGCATCTGCCACTCCCCTCCCCCGCCTTCCTCTCTGGGGAAAACAAATGAAGCACTTATCCAAGGAGGTTTGTTTGAGGTACTTGCCCTAGGTGCAAAAATTCCTGGTTACAGTTCTTCTAAGTACATTTAAGAACCTAGGGACACCTTTACTATTCAGGGTTTCCCAGGGAATAGGTGTTCAACCTTAATTTGACAGGCAGAGTTATTGAAGTCAGGAGAGGTTACACGGCTGATCAAGGCTGCTGAGCCGGCATCAGAGTTTGGAACCAGACTTTGGAGCTCACAGCTACCTTTCCTTGGCTCTACCCACTAGACTGCTCTTCCTCCACCCAAGCACCACTGCCTCTCATCTGCGTGACAGCCAAAAAAAAGGGCAAGTTGCCTTCTGTGCCTTCTGATTCATGTGCATCTGCGAATCAATTAACATCTCACCAGGAGTTTGTTTGGTGACAGATCAGAAAATGCTTGGCCCTTCCCACGCAAGTCTCACAGAGAGGGAAGTCAGCTCGCCCAGGTCCTAGCCAGAGTGACGCCTTGGGTGTCCTGGCCCTGGGGACCAGCCACAGCTCTACAGTCTTCCTTTGCAAAGCCTGGGGACCCCAGGGACTCTGCCTGCCTCAGTTCCCAAGTGACGGGAAGCTAAGCTCTAGAACTGGAGATAATAGAAACTCCTTTACCACGTCCCTTAACTTAAAATAAATCAGTCAGAGAAAGGAATACGCTCGAGCAGAGAGAGAACAAGCTTAGAACCTGTGGTAAAGAGGCATTGGGTCAGAGTTGTAAAGTGTTCTGATGCCTAACCTGGGTGTAGAGGCGGCTGTGAGTTCTTGAAGTGGACGCCAACATATCACAAGCTTCCAGCACGCACTTGGTGAGGACCAGCCCAGCTGAGTACAGAGAGGCTCATGTCCAGAAAACTGGCCACTGGCTTGTGAATTTATTTATTTGCCACTTCTTGTGAAACTGGTTAGCAAGGGAAGGAAAGATTTGCCATTTGTGACTGTAGGGAATGCCTACACTGATAAAATTGCAGGTCTTTGAAGTACAGAATAGGTGGGGTTGGCTTTAGAACTCTTGAGTTGACAGTTGCCAAGCCAATGAAAATCTGCCCTTTGGATCTAGGCCTAGGCCTCCATCTGGCCCTGCCTGGAGTGGAGGGAAAGTGTAGGGTGCCCATCATGCTTTGGAGCATGATCACCAGTAACCTAGGTTGGGAGAATGTGGGCAACTTGGCCCTTCCCTCTGTTCATCATCTGTTTTTGACTTGGAGTGGGAAGGTGGTATGTTCAAGGTAAACAACTTGGCCAGCCTGTACCACCCTATGAAAGAGCCCAGCCATGACCTGTGTTTTAAATTAATATACCCATGCATCCTTCCTACCCTGAGACAAAACTTCCCCCAACATCTCTTTGGTCTTTGTTAGATTTCCAGCCGAGAGAAGCTTCCTTATTTTCTGTGTTTCCTGGAAATGCAAAAGGTTTTGTGGGGGTGAGGGTAGGGGTGCCTAATGATTGCCAGGGGAAGAAAATTGAGGTGAACCTCTTTGCTCCATGAACCTTCATGGAGTGCAGAGCTGGAAGGACCTCAGAGATCCTCTCACCCAAGACTTCTTGACCTAAGGTCCATGAAGAGGTATCAAGGGGTCCATTAAATTAATGGGGGGAAATTTTTACATCTTTATCCTAACTAACTTCAAACTGAAATTTAGCATTTCCTTCAATAGTTTAAAAACATTATTCTGAGAAGGGGTCCATGAGCTTTACCAGATTGCCAAAGCAGGGCCCAACACAATAATGGTTACAACCCCCTTTACTAGTCCAACCATATTTTGAAGATGAGGAAATTGTAACCTAGAGAGGTCATATGATTAATTCAAGGTCATACAACAAGTTGGTGGTAGAGGCCAAGATAGAAATGCAAGCCTCCTTCCTCCTAGCTGAAGGCTTCCCCTCAACACCTTGTTACTTATTTTTATCTGAACAGGATATTTTCCAAGGAATGGCATGTGCATATGTGTGCATGTGCATGTACGTGTGTACGTGTTTGTGTGCGTGTGTGTGTGAAGAGATTGGCAGTGAGTGTTTGAACTTGAACGGAAGCTTGAGATTACAGTTTGATTCCTTTCTAGCCTGATTCCCACACATGTCCCTCTGCCCTTTTGCCAGACTCTTTGCCTAGGACCTGGGTTATCTGTGCCACGTAACATTTTCATGTGTGCCTCCCCCAGTGGCGAAGCTGCTGCATCTCCACTGCTTCTGCTGCTCCCTTCTCTAGGATCCTTCTGGGTCCCTGCCCTTGGTCAGTTAGACAGAATTAAGCTATCACTCTGAACTCCCTGCCCCTAGTAGGTCGGCAAAGCATCCTTCACCTGGGACAAGGGAATGCCCTTAGGCTGAGAGAGTGAAAGCTACCCTAAGCAGAAAAGGAGGCAGATGGTATAATGGAAAGATTGATAGAATTTTAAGTCAGAGGTTATGGGTTCCAGTTGTGGCTCTGGCATTTCCTGGCTGTGTGACCTTGGGCAAGTCACTTCATCTCACTGGGCCTCGGGCTCCACTGTAAAATGAAGTTGGACAGGTGATCTCTGAGGTCCCTTGCAGCTATAAATCCTAAATCATATGAATAATAAAGGCCTTCTTCCCCTTGCTTTCAGAGGCCCAGTGGTGCTAATCCCTGTGAGCAGGGCCTCGCTTCATTTCCAGGGAAGGTGACTTCAAAAGAAGCAGAGGGAAAAAAAACCACCATCCCTGACAACTGAACCATGACTACTTCTGCCTGCTAATGAGGGTTAGGATGCCGGAGGGAAGTTCCTGACTGAGGGAATTTCTGTCAACCTGGACCCACAGTCTGCAATCACAGCAAGAAGGGTTGGGTTGGGGCTGCCTCCTCTCCTTGCTTTTTAAATGAGGAACACAAGGCTATGGGGACCATGCAGCTCTCTCCATGAACTGGGAGCCTGGTCCATCATGGCAGAGCCCACAGGGGATCGGAGGCGAGAGGAAAGGAGGCACGGAGCCTCCTGTGGAGCCCCTGAACGAGGGCACCTTCCTCAGGAGAGCCATGCCCGCTCCAGCAATGCCCAGGTCAAACAGGAGGGCAGATACAAACGTCTCCTGGCCCCGAGGCTGAGCCTCTCCACCAGCAAGTGGGAAGGAAGAGATGGGCACGCAGCCTATGCTGGAACATCTGGGCTTGGCCCCAAACAGCTTGTGCTGATAACCACCTCCTTGGCACAGAAGAAAAAGAACTTGCAGAGAATAGGGAGTCTTTTACTGCAGGGTCTGGGGATATAGCAGCAGGCATGAAAATACTCAGCTCAATCTGCTTTTGCCACATGCTTTTTGGGGCAATATAAGCAGCTTTTCCACATCTCTCTCCCAACCCCACTCCACCTCACCTCACATCCTCCATTCCCTATCTCTCTGCCTGTTGGGTTAACATTCTCAAGGACAGAGTTGCTCTGTGACCAATGCAGAAAGCCCCGGTACCAGATTTGGGCCAAATAGGTGGCCCAAGTGGGAGAGGTACAGGGGCAGAATGAGGTAGGGGCTCTCTGAGGACCAGTCCTCTCCAAAGGAAACAAGGTTCTGTGCTCTGAGACTGAATGAGCGTCTCTTTCTATAGTCCTAGAAGGCCAGGCACAGGCTACAGTCATGGTCCAGCCTGGCCCAGTCCTGCCTCTCCCCTGCCCATAAAAGCCCAGAGTCTCCCAGCCTCTTTGGCTCAGGGAATGCCTTGCCCTGGAGGTCAGTCTGGGAGCTGGCAAGTTCCCGCACAGGGAAGAAGGGAAAGGAGCTACCAGGTCACTGTATAGCTCCTGGATACAGCCTGTTCTCAGCTACAAGACCTTGGGTTGGAAGAACCATCAGGGAAGCAACAGTGGGGCTAGGGAGGTGAATTGCATTGCACTCAGAAGGGTTTGGGCTAGACACAGGTGGGGAACCTGCGGCCTCGAGGCCACATGTGGCCCTCTAGGTCCTCAAGGGTGGCCCTTTGACTGAATCCAAACTTCACAGAGCAAATCCCCTTAATAAAAGCATTTGTTCTCTAAAACTTGGACTCAGTCAAAAGGCCACACCCGAGGACATAGGCCACATGTGGCCTTGAGGCTGCAGGTTTCCCACCCCTGGCTACAATGTTGAGAAGAGGTCCAGCCTGGGAATCCTAATTGCAGAAAAGGCTGGGGTGGGGTTTGGGGGATAGAGACTTGCATGATACCTGAAGGTAAAGGTTTGGAAGTTTAGGCTGCTCTCAGAGTACAGAGCAAAAGATCCTTTCTGGGAGGCACAAAAGTTAACCACTGCCTCTTTCCCCAGTCCCTCACCATCTTGTGCCAGCATGGTCTCAGTGTAATCCACCATGCTTTTTGAGCTGTGCCCATCACAGCTGGCTAGGTGCTTGGGAGCCCCTCCACCACCTCTGGGCCAGCCTGGGCCAATCTCATGGCCCCAGGAACACTGCTTTTATATAAAGGCCAGGGTCAACCTCTATTCACCACCGACAAATCAGAGATCAGATGAGGAGGAGAACTTTAGGAAGGGCTGAATGCTGAGACTGAGGGTTAGCCTGGCTGGATTCAGGTCACCCATCTCCCGTTCCCAAGGGAGGAGAACCAGTGAAAAAAAAATCCATGCTCCTTACATCATGTTTCCCTTGATACGTCCCTTAAGACTTTTTTCCTCTGAAGATCATCTGAGATGCCCATTCTTCGTCACTACCCCCCGAATCTTCTCTTCTCTTCTTTTTGTACCCCCAACTCTGATGGAAACTGTTATTACCACTGCTTCTATTTGACACAGGGAGACAGAATTTTGACAGGTCCAATTAGATCCAGACCTGGCAAGAATACCTATTGGATGAATAAAAATCTAGGGCAGGTATAAAATATGGATCTTAAAGTCATCTTCATACTTAAGTCTACACCTAGATATAGCTATCAGTGTGTGAATATATGTGTGTATGTATATATATAAGCACCCTGATATACGTTATTTTTTTCCACCTCCAAAATTTACCTCCCACCAGCTGATACGGAGGAAAGTTTTCCATCTCTGAACCTGGGGAAGAGTCTTTGTCTCTGGCTTTTCTCAACTCTTTGCCTGCAGGGACCACTGTGATATCATCACTGGCGGGAGGACGGTTCACCCCGACTCATGGACAAAACAACATGAGAGTTTGGGGAGAGAACGGAGGGCAGAGTGGGAGAAGAGAGAGGTGAGGGAGGATGGGGGTGGGGGGGGAATGTAGGTCCCAGTCTAATTTTCCTCTCTGACTGGTCGGATCTTCATCTCAGTGAATTTGAGCGAATACTGCCATCCCGTCCAGGAGGACCATTCGATGCCATCTGCGTAGGAGGAGTGGTGACCCCTGAGGTACTGACCATTGAGGTTGGAGGTGTGGCAATTGCGATACCACCAGGCCCCATGGTAGAAAGCAGCACAGTTATTCTCTGAGTGGTCATTATCTTGGTCCTTGGTGGTAAACTTCATACCATTGTGTTTCAGGAAGGAATCACCTGTATCCCAACACACACACACATACACGCAAATAAAACACAGACAAAAGTAATAGCTCACGTTGCTCTGGTGATTCAAGGTTTTCTAAGCTATTTTCTTACAGAAATTCTATGGAATGGAAGAATACAAGTATTATTATCTGTATTTTATGGTGGAAGAAACTTCAGTTCAAGAGGTAGTGAATAGAGTACTTGACCTGGAGTCAGGAAGATGTGGGTTCAGATCCTCCCTCCAATATTTATTATCTTGATGACCTTAGGCAAGTGACAACCTTTCTGAGCATAATGAACAGAGTTGGACTAAGGACGCTAAATTTGTGACCTTTGATTTGCCCATGGGCCCGCAGCCACAAGGCCTGTGTTCCAATCCCCACCCCAAATCTCCTGTGCTTCCTGCAGTGGCGCGATGGGCCGGGGCAGAGCAGGCACTGGCACATAAAGCACAGAATGTCAGAGCTGGAAAGGAATCTTAGTCTTCATCTCATCCAACCCCCTCCTCCAACCTGACTGAGAAGGAAACTGAGGGCCACGGAAGGAAGGAAGCATTTCATTTACTAAATTGTAAACTCCATTAGGGCAGGGACTTTGTTTTAAATTTAATTTGCTTTTTTCTTTTCAGGTATAGAACAGCTGTATTTTCTCTATACATAAGCACACACATGAAATGCTAAACACATAAGATTCCCAAGTATTCATGGACAGAAAACCTTAAAGAATCAGCAATAATAATTTATCACTTTAGTTATACTGTCCCAGGAATTGGAGACCAAACAAGCGTAGCGTGAATCAGTTTGTGGGATAGCTAAGTCAATATTTCACATTTCAGCTTGGTCCCACACTTTCCAAACAATTTCCTCCAGGTGTGTGTCTTCTGGCAAGCGGAGCCAGGGGTTGGGCTTATCCTGTCCTGGAGGAAGTGGTGCAGTGGATTCCAGAGGCACCAGCTGAGCACCCTAGCTCTCCTTCCCCTCCAACTATCGCCAAGCCTGGACATAACCATCCCAGGATCGTAGTTCAGTCACCTGCCATCAGGCAAAGAAATAAAGCAGAAGAGGCAACCAGAGACCTAGACTTAAATGACCTCATCTTTTCTAAGAAACTGCATTTCTTCCCAAATGTTATACAGTGCTCTGCATACTGGTGGTTACCTCTTTTCTTAAACTCAATTCAGTTCATATTTATTATGTCCTATACGCAAGGCACTCTGTTAGCACTAGGGAATTCCAAGACAAAGAAGAAAAACGGGCCCTGCACTATGATACAACATGTGTATCCTGTGCCATAAGGATGGGTGAGATCATCTGAGGAGCTGAGAACACTAGGATGACCCAGGATGACCAAGAGGGGCTTCTATAGGAGGGGACATCTGAAATGACCACTGGTTTGGCTTCCTCAGATGAGGACCACATTTACTGACTCCTAAGGTAGTGTTCTTTCCACCCAAGGCTCTTCTGGATAAAGCCTTCCATTGCCTTCCTAACCCCTATTCCCTGTACCCTATACCAGGTAAGTCCCTGTCAAGACAGTCCCCAGAATTCTCACCTTGAACAGCCTGGATCCACCAATAGTCTTAATGACTATTTGCACTCAGGAGAGTGGCCGGATGTGACATTGAGATCCAGTCTTGGCCCGTCCATCCATGGCCACCTCTGAACTGGCCTGATGGATTTGTTTCCTGCTTCATGTTATCCAGCTCTAAAATAGCTCATTGGACAAGCTTTAGTCCTATAGGTCATCATCAGAACTAAAGAAACCTTGGGGGACAGAGAGGGAGAGAGAGAGAGAGAGAGAGAGAGAGAGAGAGAGAGAGAGAGAGAGAGAGAGAGAGAGAGAGAGAGAGAGAGAGAGAGAGAGGAGGGGGGAGGGAGAGAGAGAGAGGGAAGGAGAGAGAAAAAAGAGAGAGAAAGAGAGGGAGGGAGAGGAAGAGAGAGAGAAAGAGAGGGAGAGAGACAGAGGAAGGGGGAGGGAGAGAGGAGGGAGAGAGAAAAAAAGATATAGAGAGAGGGATGGAGAGGGAGGAAGAGGGAGAGAGAGACAGGGACACAGAGAGAGAAGAGAGAAGAGGGAGAGAGAGAAAAGAGAGGAGAGAGAGACAGAGAGAGAGAGAGGGAGAGGGGGGAGACAGAGATAGAGAGACAGAGAGAGACAGACAGACAGAGATACACACACACACACACACACACACACACACACACACACACACACAGACAAAAAGAGGGAGAGACAGAGAGATAGAGGAGGGGGAGAGAGCCAGAGCCAGAGAGAGAGAGAGAGAGAGAATGTATGTGTGTGTGTAGTGCGTATGTATGTGGAGGGGGGTGGGACTGGAAGGCTTCATCCCCAGGAAAGGGGAAGAAGGATAGAAGTAATCCAGGGGATCGGGACAATGGTCTAGACAGCACTTCTTAAACTGTGGGTCACGAGAAATTTGGCAACAGTAAAAGGTTTCTAAACGTACAATGACCAAAAATTAATTCAAAATCAAACGTTTAATGAATCCGAGGTGTTTCTGGCAGCGCTTGCCATTGTTGCATCTCACAACTTCACTGCAGCCTTGGTTCTGGATACACAACACTCGCACTTTGCATTGCACATACCTTTAGGCCATGCAATGCCAACTAACACTGCTGAAACCTGACAAGGCCTAACACATCTATATCTGCCTGGATACCCTCCTCAACCCACCACTGGATGATTCTGATGTTCCTTGCTCCACCATTATCCAAACTGGACCCTGCTGAGCTAGCCCATCCCCTAAACCATACCTGCGGTGCCAGAGTAATCAGCAATGGTGATTGGGTAGCCATCTTCCTCTGGGTCTACAGAGAACAATCCCACAGCAAAGTTTCCATAGTGGGCATAAGCTGTGCCATTATCAAAGTCCTCCAAGTCTATGTGTAGCTCATAGGTGGCCTGCATGGTCAGAGCATGAATCCTCTTGAGCCCTAAGAGCAAGGGAGACAAATGAGGGAAAGAGATGGGGATCTGTGAGGGGTTTAGCACATCATGGGAACTAAGGAGCAATCCAAATAAGTTTTATAGCTCCAGAAAGCAGAACAGTGCTCTCAAATGGAAATGTGTATTATAACCACTCCTTTAGCACTTATACTACTTCCTTCTTCCTCTTTGTTGTTGTTCAGTTAACTGTAGGTCTACAGAGCCATTGTGCTGAACTCGTTGTGTGCCTGTGAGACCTGGACACTCTACCAGCGCCATGCCAGGAAACCGAACAGCTTCTATTGAATTGCCTTAGGAAGATTCTGAAGATCACCTGACAGGATAAGGTACCGGACACTGAGATCCTTTCTCAAGCTGAACTGCCAAGCATTCAAACTCTACCACAGAGAGCACAACTCTGATGGGCTGGCCACGTAGTCTGAATACCAAACATACATTTACCTAAAAGACTATTTTATGGAGAACTCACACAAAGCAAGCACTCACATAGAGATCAGAAGAAGCGATGCAAGGACGCTCTCAAGGTCTCTGTAAAGAACTTTAGTGTTGATTGTGAAACATGGGAGATGCTGACACAGGATGACCCAACATGGCATGCCCCCATTAAAGAAGGCACTGTGCTCTATGAGCAATTCAGAATCACAGTAGCACAAAAGTTCAAATGGATTATTTGTGCCTGACCTGTGGTAGATAGAGCCTTCTGAACTTGTATTGGCCTGATCAGCCATAATCAAACATAGGTTACCTCGACCCCAATATCATGATGCCATTTTGGACCTCTTAGAATATGAAGGACAAACAAAAAGCAATGAATTTTATTCAGTTGTTTTTCAGTTGTGTCTAATTCTTTGTGACCCCATTTGAGGTTTTCTTGGCAAAGATACTGGTGTGGTTTGCCCTTTCCTTCTCCAGCTTATTTTAAAGATGACGAAACTGAGGCAAACAGGGTTCAGTGACTTACCCAGGGTCACACAGCTAGTAAGTGTCTGAGGCCAGATTTGAACTCAAGAAGATGAGTTTTCCTGACCCAAGGCCCAGAACTCTATCCACTACACTACTTAGCTGCCCCCTTCTTCCTGTGTATATCTATTCTAATGGACATATTGCCTGGGAGAAGAAAGCGATCTCTCAGCCCTCCCCACTTCAGTTTCCTCCCTTCCTCAAAGATTTTTATTAAATAGCACTCATGAAAGAGAGTAGCATGGATAGAACACTGGTCTTGGAGTCAGGAAGACCTGGTTCAAGGTTCAAGCTTTCCCGCTGAGGCACACGCACCTCTGGCCAGGGGCAAGTCAACTAACTAACCTCTCAATGCCTGAGGTACCTCCCTGTGACTGAAAGTTACAGGTGAACTGCCTCTCGCATTGATGGAGAGAGTTCCTTACTCCTCGGAAACCACAAGTCCGTGCCAATACCAAAATCAAAACCTTACCAAAAATTCTTGTGGATTATTGAACTAGTTTAGAATGGCTCTATAGGATTATAAAATGATCATGCCAAAAATGACCTTGGACCCTATACTGTTAGATCTGATGGGACCTTAGACTCTAGACTACTAGAGCTAGAAAGGACCTTAAAACACAGAATATTAGAGATGGAAGAGACATCAAAATGGAATGTTAGAGCTGGAAGGAATTGTAAACCATGGATTATCGATGCTATCAAGGACCTTAGAATGTAGAATATCAGAATTAAAAAGGATCTTAGGACACAGAATAGCAGAGCCAGAAGGAGCTTTAGAAGTCCCCTACTCAAATCCCTTTCCTTATTCCATCCCCACTTTACAGATGGGAAAACTGAAGCCTGGAGAGAGGAAGTGACTCCCCCAGGTTAATACAGATGCCATCATTAATAATATAGGTGGAGCTAAAAACTTCTTTCTTCCCCCTGTTCCCGTGGAACAAAATCATAACAGAGAATATTCTTAGGTAGACACATGGTTAGGAGTTATTCTCCAAATTTACCAGTATTAAGATAGTGACAGCAGAAGGGAATACCTACAATTGCCCACAGTTGCTATGATCTTGTAATACCCTAAATTCCTCTCCCAATTTCTCCAGAATAGCAGACAATCTAATGTCCCTTCTATGTCCTAAGGTCCCCTTTGGCTCTGATATTCTACATTCTATAGTCCTAGATGGCTCTGATGTTCTCTGATTTAAAGCTCTTTCAAGCTCTAATATCCCATTTTAAAGACTCTTCTAGCTCTAAAATTCATCTACTTTGTTGATTCCATCTTTCCCTCCCTTCCTTCTTTTAGCGTGCTTCACCTTAGTGTAGGGCTGACTTCAGAGACTGCATGCGTGAGCACACACACCCGCATACGCACATGCACACATAACTACCCCCCACATACAGCTTTCCTGCTGGTTTGATTAGCTCTTGATTAAGAGGGCATTTAATTAAACACCTTATGAGTTATCAGCAGCAAGTGACATTTCATCAGTGAGGTTTACATCTCTTTCAATCTCTCCCTGCTGCCTCTCTTTCTAGAACTCTAAGCCCCATGCTTTAATGTGTGCATTTTAATGGGAAGAGAAGACAGCAAGAATCTTCCCCTCTCTAGCTTCAGTGAGGAACCTTCTACCTCCTAGTTCCAACTGAAAGAAGACAAAATGTCTAGGTTAGGAGTTCCCAATCTTTTGTCACTGCTGATAAACCTGCTGGTTTTGACGTCAAATCTGTTGGACCCCTGCTATACTCAGTTCTCTCTCCCATGATGCCCAGGGTTGTGTGGTAGGCTTAGGTCAAAAAAGAGGTAATTTGAGTAAGAGAGAGCCTCATTTTATGAATAAATATTTTCCTGGGGGTGCTATATGACTGTGAGTCATGGAATGAGCAAACTCTCTGAAGAATTAAAATTACAGGTCATCCAAAGAACAATGGACAGACAACAACATATAATTAATGAAGGATTATGAAGGAAAAAGGCTATGGTCAAAAATAATTATGAATAATAAAGGAAATAGGCCAGTCATCGTGTGTGTGTGGGAAGAGAGACAGAGACAGAGGGAGACAAAGAAAGAGGGAGTGAGGGGGAGAAAGAGAGAGAGAGAGAGAGAGAGAGAGAGAGAGAGAGAGAGAGAGAGAGAGAGAGAGAGCGTGAGAGCCATTCTATAGCCCACATAGTCCATTGGTTTCCATGAAATGTTCATTTCTAAAGGAAGGCTGTCAACACTTTAGATGGACCCATTCTGGAGGATTTATGGATGAGAGTTGCAAAGCAAGGGAAAACACAGGTGGTCACAATCAGCAACACTGGAAGTAGGTACATCAATAAAATCACAGAGTCCTCCAAGTATCAAAGAATAGAAATAAATGTACTGGTCACTAATCAAAATTCTATTATTAATTCATGACAGCACATCACTTAATGAACCAACTGTTCAAAATGTTTGCCATCAGTGCCTATGCATTTCTGAGATTGATGTACCATAAGCTGACCCACATGCACACATATTTCTATACTTCATTCTCCCCATCTTGTAGGTCATGTCCTTAAAACCTTTAACTTAAACTCATTACATGCCCAGCAGTGGCTATGTATGTTTTTTGGTTGTTTGCTTTCAAACATATCTCTCCATTGACTCTGAATTGTCCATTTTCGAGCAAGTCTTTAAAACTCACTTATATTGCACAAATGTCAGTTGCCATTCACAGACTTGCTGAATTTTAGAGTTGGAAGGGACCTCAGTGGCTGACTAGACCAGTCCATGACCAACAGGAATCCCCACTTTCATATACTTGACAAAGGATCACCTACCACCTATCCTTAGCCTGAAGGCCTCCAATGAGAGGGACCCCAGTGTCTTCTATGGCAGCCCATTTCACTTTTGGACAGTTCCAACTCTTAAGAGGTTTGTTCTGATGTGGAGCCTGTTTTTAACTTGTGATGTCCATCGTTTACTCCTGGCTCTTTCCTCTGGGGCTAAGAAGAATAATCTGATCCCTCTTCTCCATGACAGTCCTTTAAATACTTGAAGATAGCCGACATTCCACCATTTTGAATTTTGTCCTGAACATGATTACATGATAATGACTAAAGCTAGCTCCCTAATTGCTCTTATTGGGGCAGCTAGGTATTGCCAATGGATAGAGCACTGGGCCTAGAGTCAGAAGATTCATCTTCCTGAGTTCAAATCTGGCCTCAGACACTTAATAGCTGTATTTTAAACATCTTAGGGTAAAAACTGTGCATTCTTAGTTTCTTAAACTAAAACAAGCTGTATGTCTTTCTAGTTGTCCTGCTTACACTGAGTGGGCTGCCTGACTGTAGAGAGGAGAGGGGAGAGGAAAGTTTGTGACTACCCTAGGTCCCTCCACCCTGGTCACAGCCCTATATTGACTATCCCTTTGCCCTCACTGCTTCCACTACTTAAACTTTCATGCCATTCTTTACAAGGTTAACTCAGTGCCCTTCCATCCTTCCTCCTGGCTTTGCCTTAGCTTCAAGCTTTTCCAATGTCCAAACCCCTTTTCCTTCCACAGAGTTGCTACATTCTGCCAGCATTCATTCATTCATTTAGTAAAAATTGACCAAGAGCCAACCGTGCTCAGAGCACTGTGAAGGGCTACAGCAATGGGGGAAAAAAAACCCACATAACACCCCCCCCACACACACACGCATACACTTTAAAGAGCTTACTAATTGGAGGTAAGACAGGAACAGGACAAAGTAAAGCAAAGAATGGGATAAGTATGCAATGCTAGGCAAGTCTCCTGACCTCTCAGAGCTTCAATTTCCGCATCTGTAAATCACTAAGATTCTAAAAGTGGCCAGATGGGAATTGGGGCGGGGGCAGGGGAAGGCTCCCCCCATCCTGAAACATCTCCCCCATTAGCCTATGCCTGATGTCTGGAAATCTACTTTTAATGAGTCAGTCTTTTGGGTTGAACATTGCTCACTCCCTTGAGCCTCTCAAAATGCAAATTCTCATGTTGCAAACTCCTGAATGTGAATGAATTTATTATATGCTTTAGTCCCAGA